CAAGATAGTTCTAGAAACTAGAGGGCGCCACAGTGGTCATGTGACTCGCTGACGCAACAATATTTACAGCATTATCATTCAATACTATTATAGATTAAATCAGGGATGTGAGATATTGGTTAGAATTCATATCAAAGATGGCATGTTTACAGCATCATATCACTTCAGTATTTCATTTAAATTGAACTCTTCTAAAACCATCTATGAAATAAATTCTAAACTAAAAATAGATCAGAGACAACGCAAAAAAAGAACGTCATTTAGCAAGAGAAAGAAAAAAGTAGATGGATGGCACTACACAGTCAAAAAATCTTAGCAAAAATTAGGATAACTGAAGCAGAGGGAAAACAATCACTATAGAAAAATTAAACAGCAAAAATCAAAACAAAAAATATACCCTTTATGCAAAATCATATAAAAAAGCTCCTTTAGGAAAAAAAAAGAATCAGATATCATATTTGAAACAAGAAAAATAAAATCTATTAAAGTAACTCTTCTAAGACTCCAACAAAAAAAAAAGATACATCAGGATACATACAGGTTGACTAGGTACACAACAAACAAAAATTAAAACTGACATCGTCCAGGATAGAAGGAGTGAAAATTCTGCTTCGTTTGTGGACTGATGGGACACTGATGAAGGAAATGATAGTACTTTGCCAAGCCATAAGCTCAACAAATTCAGGATAATAAGCAGAGGATGCCGTAGCAAATTCTCCAGAAAACTGATGGAGAACAACTTGGGCTTTGGCACTGGATAGGGGAAGCACAGCAAATTACTTGCATTTAAGAGTTTAGTGGGCAGCCAAACTCTCTCGGGATTCATGGAAATTGGAAGTGTGAGAGGTTAACTTTATATATGATACAGAAGCAGCAAGGTCACTAATGAACCTTGTGATATTTGAAGTCCTCCAAATGAGACCACCATCCCAGTTATTGAATACTGACTTCATTCTAGTGAATGGTGATATATTAGACATTAGAGTAGAGGTACATTTATGGCTTTATTAGGAAATGTTGGTATTCAATGGATATATTGTGGAGTTATCCATCAGTTTCACCTGTGCGACAAGGTAGCTGATGTTCCGTGAGAAGGTAATCCAATGTTAGCTAGATCAAGCCCAAGAACATTGGTCTATATAAGTGCATGTAACAGAGGAAATAATAGCACCTGTATCTCCACATACACAAAGGGTATCCATGGTTTACTCTGGACAAAGTGCAGTATGTCAGTACCATGTAATATAATTATAGAAGCCATTCATTAAATAAAGCTTCCTGTCCAGAAATCAGGCAACACAATCTCAGACAGAAGTTCTGGTGTTGTTTTATAATTATGGGTGATCAGTTATCCAGCTGTGCATTGGAATAACTAAAGGCATAGTAAGTGAAGTGGAAGTAACCAACGTTAGTGGTAATGCTAGCATTGTATCCATTTCATCAGAGTCAAAGGTAATCACACAGCAACACATTTTGTTTGAGGATTGTACAAATAATCGACATAGCACAACAAAAGCAGCTCGGTGGTTTGTACAATAAATATGCCAATATATCAGTGAGATCAGATGGCTGATTGGGTCAAACAATGTTAAATCACATATATACAGGCAATGCACATCCAGTAGGGTAATCTCTACACCACTTTCCACAATGAACTAGGGAGGTAAACAGCACTTAAATACAGTGGATATGGAAGGATGGAGTCATACAACCTTCAGATAGCACTTGACCATCTCCAGTAGTGACTGTCAAAGCAAGCTACTCCAAGGGTACTGTGTTGATTTTAGACCGGTGAACAGAGTAACTTGTATTCATGCCTTTCCTTTATTGTGAACCTTAGATCTGGCATCCAGTTAATGGTAAGTCAAGCTAGAGAACGAAAGCAGGTTTAAGACTGCTTTCTGCACATGAGAAGGCTTGTATTCCATGTTTTGCTTTTCGGGCTTTGTAACATACCCATCACTTTTGAAAAACTGATGAAGCTTACATTGAAGGGACTGCTATGGGAGTGATGACTAGCCTACATCAAGTGTAAAGCTGAGAACCTGACAAAGGTATCCCACTGGATTAATAAATCAGACTTCAAACTGAAACCTCGAAAGTGTTCACTCATGCAAAAGAGAGGTGAAGTTTCTCGATCATATTGTAGGAAGGGATGGCGTTTCTACAAACCTAGCTAAGATATTTGCAGTGATAAATTGGCCTCAACCTGAAAACAAGTTTAAACTCAACATTTTCCTTGAATTTTAGTTATGTTATCAATAATTTGTGGTCAACTTCTTCGAGATAGCAGCACCACTGTCTGCTCTGACGATACTCAAGAGAAACTTTATTGCTAAGCATTTCAATCCCCAAAGCTTGCTTTGGAGAATGCTCCAGTGCTAGCCTATCCATGTTATAGGATTGAGTAGAAGATGTAATCGCGTATGCTAATTGTACAGTATTGGTTTCTGAATGCAGATACTGTACAATAAAAAATAACTGCGTGCAGTTGTGGTTTCTGTGAAACATTATCACTGCTACTTGTATGGTAAGAAGTTAAATATTTGGTGGACCATACTTTGCCGTCCTATACGAGGGTTTTCCTAGTGTGTAGTTGATCACAAATTGTGCACCTGTAAAAATATTTGTGCAGTTGAAAATTCACCTATATAAGTAAGTTCAAGTGGATAAATATTATTTAAAAAAACATAATTAAGATTATAAAATTCCATTCCAGAGTTGATAAATAAATGTATTTACTAGAATATTCTTCATTTTTTGGATTATTTATTTCTAGGCCTGTATAAATGAGGTGCAATAAGGCGTCATGTATTAAAAAACGATGAAGTTAAAATATAATTATGCAGTTTAAAACAATCTTAGGAAAAGCTCTGGTCGTATGAACTTTAAAAATATGGAGAGGATGATAGCACACTGGACCACAGCATTGGAAGAATATGATTTTGTTATAGTTCTTTCCTTAGTCTACAGCATCGAAACACGGATAAAGTATCTCACTGCACAACCAGACCATGTCTGTTCGTGGAGTGTTCTGATTCTGGACATCATGTGGGAGATCAAATCATAGCCATTTCTGCCATAGGAAAGATAAGCCATGCAGTTGATGATTCTACTGGTGGATGGATGCCAAAACTAACACTTAAGTAGCTCCAGAAAGAGCAAATGAAGGACTCTGATTTTACAAAGTGAAACCCAACCAACACTTAAAGAGGAGCAGTGCACAGATACACAACCACACATATGTGGTCAATTATAATGCAAGAATATGATTTGTACCATTGCTGTAAACCAACGAGATGTGATTCTTCCGCTGTGCTGTTGATAGTGGTCTTTCAGATCTCTAAGGCAATAAATTTTCCATATTTTCCATAACACAAATAAAGGAGGGCACCAAGTTATTACTTGCACTTCTTCTGACATTGGACAATGGTTCTTCTGGGTGCATTTGAATCGAGATGTTTGACTGTGGTGTAAATATTGTAGAGTGTGTGATGCCTGTCACACCAGGTGAAGAATTGTTCAAGGAAGGGTAAAGAATAGCTCAATCTCCTCTGTAGAGGACAGCCCTAGATACTGCTGGTCCACTCCAGAAGACGTTGAGGGATCATTGATACATACTTGGTATTATTGATTATTTCATGAAGTAGGCCTAACTAGGCTTATCTCTTAGTCAATACATTGGTACAGTTCATCACTTATGTGTTTGTGGAGAGCTTAATAGCATGGTTTGGAGTACTGAAGGAAATTCACACGAATAACGGAGCTAATTTCAACAACAACTTTTTGCTTATTTCTCACAAGTGTTAAATGTTGTGATGACGGTATACTGAGCAAAAGAACAAGAATCTGCAGACTGTGTGCAAAATATGCTCATGCTTGGGGAGATATATTTTCCCTGTTGTGTGATAAATGGTCCTTCCTCGCGAAAAGACGTTCCACAGTGTTGACAGTGGTAAGTTTATGGACTTATAACACTAAAATTCGGGGTTCGATTCTCCGCAGTGGACACAGCAGATAGGCTAATGTGACGTTGCTCTAAAACAAACAAAAACAAACCTTAAACAGTAATGGAGGGTTAATCTCTACTGCAGCCGATTCTCCTCTGTAGAGAGCCTAATCCTTTATCTATACAGTCTGCACACACCCCTATAATATTACAAGAAAACAGGAGCGCATGGTATATTCAAATACCACACATTCACAAAACAGTATTACGAAATAATTATTCAAAAATGAGAAACTACGAAAGGTTTCACTAATAATTTTACATATTTAACACCATTCGAGTTTCAAAGATTAAGAAAGTCTGAACCATTTGTTATTAATAGTAAATGTTAAAATGACCAACATTCTTATTTTTGGTATTCTATAAAACATTTGTCATAAGCGAATATACTGAAATACATATAAAGCTGTATTATTATTATTATACACTATGAACGATCACGAATACGTTGAATATCTGCAATACTTGCTTTTTATATGATATCAAATGCCAGATGACTTTGTGAAGTGACATCTCTGCTCTTTTCTTCATAGATGCGTGTAGAAGTAGGCTTACATGCCAGGTGTAAAAACAATGTAGGCCAAAGGATCGACTATTCTGGACCTAACCGTATTGCGAATCTATTCATTCTTTTATCGTTTATTTTGTTTTTATTTTAATTTGTGTCACAGATTAGCCGTAGTACTGGTAGCCATGTCAGAGAATACGAAAATGTCGCCAGAAAAGAACAACAAAGTTACAGCAAAAGAAAACAGAATTAGTCCCGGTAAAAATTTTATAGCTGGTGGAGTTGGTGGAGCTTGTTGCGTTGCTACCGGCCATCCGTTAGATACTATTAAGGTATTAAACTAAACTCTTGGGCCAATTCCAATATTATGTATTTATTAAATTTGAAAGCAATGTTTATCTCACGAAGAGCTCATAAATAAGCTTGAAATTTTGCGTTGAATAAATACATTGTCGAGTTAGCCACAAATTTCATCTGGTTAAGATCATTTTTTTACCTACAATTAAAAAATAATTATTAACAATCACTGTTAATAATATAATGTTTTGGCTTTCAGCTCTAGGAATAATATATAACATAATATAAACTTAAAAAAGCTTTAAATTATATTAAACAGTTTTTGGCAGCATTAATGGAAACCATGATTTCTTTACCAGTTTATGTGTGTGTGTGTGTGGTATTATCTATATGTTGTTCTGTAAAACCCTAATGACTAAATCAGTAAATGTTAAAAGCCATAAAATATATAAATGAATACATATGAAAAGCTTAGATGCAAAACTCAGGGTATGCCATTTCCAACAAAATTGAACTACCCATGATATTGTATTGATTGTGTTTGCTGTTATATTCCACTTTTGTGTGTGTGTGTGTGTTTTGTGGGATACATAATCAATGCCACAGTGCTATTCAAGTATCAGTAAGCTTAAAAATATTTTAAGCTGCGAAGTTCTATGAAGTTTTTAAATAGCTATTTCTGAGATAAATGTACAACGTTTCATCTCTAATACTAACAGTGAGACATTATCACATACAACCTTAAATGTTGTACGTGATCATGTTTCACTGTACAGAAATAAATATTATATATTGTCTGTAAGTTATGTGGGTACCTCATGTAAAGCAAACTGTGAAGCTTTATTTAATAACATTTTCTGTTTGGAACAGCAGAATTAAATTATTGAAAATAAGAAAGCCAAAGTAATTCAGTGTTCTGCTTTTATGTGTAAATAAATCTAAATATTGGCAATATAATTATGGAAACTAGTTTAGTCTTGCACCTTGCATACCATCTCAAACTTCACTTGAAATACTCTATACAATTTTGATCTCCTTATCTAAGGAAGGATAATAATTTATTGAAAAGGGTTCAGAGGAAATCTTCTAGGATGATTCATAGATTAGGAGTTATCTTATTGGATTATCTGGAAAATCAGTAGGATAAAGGCCTCTAATTTCTTTGTGCTGTATTCTGAAGATAAGATGAGAGGAAAATTTTAAGACTTGCAAAACAGGCTGAGCTCGAGTTAAAACAATTTTATTTTTCTAACAGAATGATTAGCTTATAGATCAAATTGCTGTTTCCCATTAGTATTAGTGGAAGCCAGTATCTTGTAAAGAGCTTAAGAAGGGAATAGATGATTTCCTGAAAAATAAAAGGGTGATTTAAATGTTTACTTTTTCTAAGGGGTGGGTGCACACTCAGCCTGATGATTTCTTTCACTTTATAATTGTGTTTTGTTTTTCTTTATAAAGGTAAGACTCCAGACAATGCCAAAACCAGCTCCAGGTCAGCCACCCATGTTTGCAGGAACGTTTGACTGTGCCAGAAAAACTGTTGTGAATGAGGTAGGCCAAGTATTTATCATTATCCTTATAAAAGAGAAAATACGAAATACGTGTACATGTGTATCACTTTTTAACTGAAACAAAAAATCATTGCTACTGTAGAAATGTGTTCTTAAGAATAGACTGTGTATGTGTTACTAATCTCCTGTCTAGTTTTGAGATACTTTTTGTAATGATAATGAAACTTAAGAGCAAACTATATGCTGAAATAAAACTAATTTGATATCATAATTTAAATTATTATTCAAAGATTAGAAGTTCAACATTTTTCGTTCGGCTCTGATCTCAGTTTGTTGATCGGTAAGGTCTCTTTTATATATAGAAAGTTTCATTACAGTAGTCCATCATCATCTGTTTTTCAACTCAAATGATATATTAAAATAAGTCAATTAACATTAGAACCATCTCTTTATAATCAATCCCTAACAGAGAAGCCCACTCAGCCATTTCTAAACTTTAGTTTCTATTGTCCTCTTATTTTATTTTGAAATTGTAGCTGAGAATATGTCATTATATATATTATGTAACTGTTTATCACTTTATGATTGTAGTATAAATATTATAGAAGTTATATGTATAACTTGTTTATTTCTGACTTAAAACTATTAAACTTTATCGCAGGTTACTGGAAAGATGATAATAAATATAATGTATTTTTGTATATATAAATGATCACATGGAAACTCTTAGACCATATACATTAGATTTAAAACCTAATCATTCATATAGATGTACAGTTAAATATAATACAATTATGAACAGTAAAACTATAAGCAAGGTGTATCTTATACATCTTACCTAAGTAATTTTAGTATTTACACAATTGAGACGTAGCTTAAATATGTGCTTATGTTTAATATTTAATTAAATTTTATTTTACCATTTCAAAAAAAAAATGTATATGTAGGGTTTCCTAGGATTGTACAAGGGAATGGGAGCTCCAATAGCTGGAGTAATGCCTGTGTTTGCAGTCTGTTTTTTTGGATTTGGGCTTGGAAAGAAGATGCAACAGAAACATCCTAATGAAGAATTAACGTAAGTAGAGCTTTTTATGAAAAAATTTACAATTTTTTATAAAAATCTGTGAATAGAGTTAATAATTATATACATGTAATTCCTGATAAACAGACAGCCAGAGTATACACTGCTAAAATGTCATTAACAATTTTATACAGTTTCTTCTCTCCAGACTTGGTGGTTCTGTATATAGGCTTTCCTTCCTGAAGTTATTAACAGCTTTGAAAGCAGATTAAACTGAGTTTTGTTTTCTCCAGTAAAGGCTGACTGTTTGTGTGATGTGTATCATTTAAAGATTTTCAGCTATTTCATAAACTCACAGAAAAGCAAAAGATGTAAAAGTTAATACTGTGACAGCTTAAAAAACAATAACTGAAAATGAATCTAACTTCAAAGATTAGACACAAATTGTACTAACATAATCAAGCTGAATACATGTATGTATTAGACAGTAATCTGTAAGCATAAACTTGATCGTGAACGTTTACTTATATGTATATTAGTATATAAATTGTGAGGAATAGCAAAGAAGAAGAGAGGGCAATGTTCAATAACACAGGCCTGCGAATTTAAGCTTCATAAAAGTTGTTTTGGTTTTAATAAAAAAATTTCCATAACACAGCTACACAGTTTTCGAAAATAATATTCATTTTTTTATCATGTAAGGATTTTTTACAAATTGGGAAGAAAAACAAACTCTTACTTTGATCAAATTATTGTTTACCACAATAAACATTTTTTATTATTATGTTTGTTATGCTTGGATTCTAGAACAATTGGTAAGACTCTCATGTTGTGTGATTGGTCTAGAGAAATCTATAGCCAGTAGTTGTCAACATTTTAAGCATAACAAAATGTGACTCGTTTTCAATGAAAATGATTCACTTACATAAAAGTACATATGATGTTTTGTGAAAAATCTGTACGTGATGGAGAAAAATGGATATCATTTTCAGATTCAGTGCACAGGAATTACTGTAGAACATGCAAAAACTTCAATACAATAAAACCATCGCAGGCCTGTGTTATCAGTGAAAGCACTGTGGGAACCTGATGTAAATCATATTTAACCACTACTGATTATGCTCAATTATTGTCTTATTTAATGCTTTGGATGACACAGATGTGTGGTTAATTGTGGTATATTCACACTTTGCTCTTCATTGATAGAGAGTCATGTGTGAAAATTAGCATGGTAGTACATGCGTTTGAAAGTTTTTGACAGTGTTTTGTCATCCTTTGGTGCCTATTAGCACTGATCGCAAGTCATTCCAAAAAACTTTAATGTTATATCAATAGAATATTTCCATTAAAGCTAAAAATCACCAGAGGAAGGGCATCCTAGCCTTAAACACTGTCAACATTAAAACATCTCTTTAACGATAACCACTTTTTGTGATATAAGTTTTCAACTTCTTTTGTTTTTGATTTCACGGTGGTCTATAGCTTCTGAATAACAGTCAGGAGTAACTTGTAGATGTTTGTCTCGTGTCTCATCTTCAAAATAAGATTGTGTTTCACGATCACATTGAGCCTCCTACTATTTAAGGTGATGATTTCCTTTAGTCTGTGTTTCTCTAGTGACTTTTTAGTTATATGTCTGTTACTACAAGTATACTTGTATGCCTTTATCGTAGTAGACAATCTTTCTTTGTACTAGGTACAGTAGATCTCTGTATAGTTCATTTTGGCATTTTTGAATAGCATAGGATGTACATTAACAGAGAACGCAAGTAATAATTCCTACAGCATGTGTAAAGTTAAAATGTTTTATATGTATGTGTGTTTATAGATATTTCAAATAAAGACGCTTGTTTAAATATTTAACACCAAGTCTACAAGTCAATGAGATCAATTATGATGGATTGGGTTAGCTACAGATGGGTACTACGGTTTCCAGAGTTCATATTAGAGCCGAAAAACATACCCTGATAAAGAGCTCAATCTGTTAACCTTAAAATAAAAATATTTTACTGCCAAAAGAACTAACCTTTCTGTAGTGTTCAGCCACAAAGATGTTGGTTTTTGAGGATTGGCTGGATTCTATTCTTCTTTTCTCAAAGTTGTTGACGTGTTTATGTAGAGGCAGGTACTACTTAGCAACCTGACAGTAGAAAGTAAACTTTGTTAAACCTTTCTCAGCCATCTCTAATGACATAACTTGTGAAAACCAAGGAGAAAACTTTATAGGGCTGAGGAGCCAGATATTGTATTGTGCAACATATGTGGCCACTACCATGTTTTATGTGGGATTTTGGATACGAGTATTGGTTTTACTCCCTCGTAGCCTGGAAACTAGTGTAAATTAGGCCACACTGGTTGACAGTTCAGATTCAAGATATCACAAAAAGCTCAAATGGCTATTTATAATAATAAAAAAAAAATCTAGAAAGCTTTGTTTTGGAATCAACCCATCAAAAATGTCTCCCTGGCTCATAGCTTCTGTGTTAGAATTAATTTGTTATAAATATCAATCTGTAATTGGAGTTTATGTGGTTGTTTTTCAGTGATTATAGGATTAATAAATATTATTTGCAGCCTTCTACAGATATTTAATGCAGGAATGATGGCAGGTGTTTTTACTACAGTTATCATGACTCCAGGAGAGAGAATTAAGTGCCTTCTTCAGGTTGGTTTTTGGAATCAATGTTTCTGTAACTTTTTAACTTCCAACTCCATATTAATAACTCTGCTTGAATGCAGAGTCATACTAGGTATCCACTTGTGAAAAGGGTGATTTATATGTTAGCATTTATTATTCAAAAATTTTAAATGTCACTTCATTACACACAAGACTGCCTTGGTTTACATACCTGGTTGGATACTGATTACTTGAGTAACCATAAACACATACAACATGAGCTGTCACAATGGTTTATTAAATTAGGGATTTGGGTTTTCCTGTTTATCATATCAATAAAAAACGTTTTACATGGGTTCTACTGGTAGATAGAAAAAGATAGTAAATGAGAAAAGAACGTTTATAAATTATTGAGACTTTTACTATCACTGTATGTATAGATAGTGATAATTTGTAGCTTCGGCTATACTTTTTTTTCTCTGAATTTGAAATACATCATGCAAACTTCTACATTTAGTTATGGATAACCACAGCTTCTTCTATTTAACTCAAATATACACAAAAATATGTGGGGAAAAAAATCAATGCAGGTAAGTGGATTTTTTTAGCAAGAGCAAAGTAACCATAATACTGTTTAACATTCTGAAGAAAGTGGAGATACTAAGTTTATTGTGTTCATTGGGATTTAACCCTGATAGCTTGGGTGACAGAGTACTAAAGCTGTTTGAGTTCCAACCCTGGACGAGATAGATTTCTTATCACCATGATATGTTAAAATAATATGAATTGAATGTAATTAAGTTTCATAAAATTTTAGATATTCTGTTTGTCCTCTTGGAAGGTTGTAATATTGATAAAATAATTAATTTTAAATCATCCACGAAAACTTCATTTTATTAAAATTTATACTAGCTCATATGAAAATTTCTATCTTTTTTACAAATATTTTTGTTAAGATTCAGCAAGCTGCTGGAAGTGCTGCAACCACTAGATACAAAGGCCCAATCGATTGTGTTCGTCAGCTTTACAAGGAAGGAGGGATCCGAAGCATCTACAGAGGAACTTGCGCTACATTGCTCAGAGGTAGGAAGCATTTCTTAGTTTTCATCATAGCAGTTCAGAAATCTTCTGTTTCCTGATTCATTCTTTAGACTGAATTTTATCACAAAACAAATTCAACAAAATGAGTTGTAACCATGGAAGACTTTGGTGAAACTACTATTCATATTGTTCCCACTATAACATCTGCTAGTTTAATGTTTAGTAGAAGTCTGGCTCACAGACACACCCTCCAATGAAAGAATAGACCATTCCAAGCTTTTACTTGTTGTTAAACAAGTATTTTAACCACTTTATTCAATTATGTACCAGCTGCCCAGTGTTGGCTAACAATATCAAGAATTAGATTGTGGCAAAATACTACAAGTTCTTCAAATACCTATAGAATGATAGGTTTCTTTTTTGTGAGTGTAAAACATTTAAATACACCATTAGAAGAAGAAGAACTGGTTGTAGGTTGACTGATAATTTTGGTGCACTGCCATATACGAGAAAATCTTATTGATACATGCAGAGTTGAGGGAGATAGTAAGAGTTTTATTCTTGTAAGGACTTACTGCTACACCAGTCTGATAATACAACAATCTTTTGATAAGCCTATTTTCTACAGTTAGTTGTTGGAAATATTTCATATTATTAACCCAATGACCACCGGCTACTAACTTTCTGAGTACCCAATGCAAATCTTGCTATATTTCATTCCAACAATAAAACTAGTGTATAAAACTGTTTGAAACTTCATAAGGACTTTCATAAATGCATGTAGTTTAAGAAACATAAATCCTGTTACTTTTGATAAATTTAGTTATATTGCATTATGATTTTTAATATCTTCGAAAATTACATTAGGTAATGGTATTTATAAGAAACAATTACAATATTTATATTTGTTCCAGATTTGAACTTGTTACTTTTTATGTTTTGGTACACTATTTTGAAATCCCCAAAAATTTGTATTGTCCATAAAATGCAAATTTTTTCTATTTTTAATTTTTTTAATAATCACATTCTCTCCTTATGGTTTTAAGTAATATACAAAACCCGAAAATAATATCTGTAAATAAACCTAAACAATAAATGAGTATTTTTATTTTTAACTAGGATTTCATGTTTATATATGTACACCAAAAAAACATTTTAATTTTGTTTCATAAATGTATTTCAAGTGTATGTTTATGTTTCATTGCAGCCATACTTTTGTTTATTGTGTTGAATAAATC